ACACACACACACACACACACACACACAATCTCTGAAAAGCTAAGGGTATTATTTTCACTTTCTTTTCCTTCCCCTCTCTCAGTACCTGACCATCCTGACCTAGTGATTACTGAGATCAGGAAAAGCAAGATTGGTTGAGGAGACCATTCATAGTTGGCCACTGTGATATTTTTTTTCCTATTACTTTAAGAAAAAAACCACAGTTACACACACAAATATGCTATCTCACAGGTATAACAATTCAACCATGTATTCATCCTCATTTAAAACATTTTCATATATGTCATATAAATATTATATAACCATTCATGTAATCTCATTGGCTGCTTTTTTCAATGGTTTTCAATCACTCATTAAGCAAAGAAACATCTGTAAGAATAGCATTAAATTTGGATTTATAGATTTATGCTGCCTTAATGACTAGTGTTTGTTGATTGCTTATTACATGAAAGGTACTATGGTAAGAGCTTTCTTTGGATGCAATATCTCATGCATCTGTATAAACTGATGGAATTACTGGGCTCCGTGTTACACTGGGTATACAAGGCTTGAAACAAAGGAGCTGGACTCAATCTCAGGCTGTTCAGGGGAAACACTGTGTTTTAGTGATCTAAGCAGCATTGTAGTAGCCTCCCCCTCCTTTATACCCTGGATATTTCTACACCACAAAATAATTCCTCTCTAGTGACCACGTAGTTTTAGTCTACGTTAGAGATTTTACATTTGGGGTGAGTGTAGGGGGAAGTTCTTTTTTGGGGGGAAAAAGGTGGGTTCTTGGTGGTTTCCAGACTGTATTTTTTTCCTGCTTGTAAAAGCAGGAGGTGAAACTATGTTTCCCTGAAATGTAGACTGAGCTAGACATTCTTTTAAGAGTCTGTCTGCCTTGGGAGATTACCTTCTGCATGCACGTGAGCCTCTCATTGAAAAATCCAATAGCAGGATAATTATTGGCAATGAGACAGATTAAGGGCAATTATTCATATTATAAATGAGTCCTTACTTCTAAGGCATTGGTCAAAGGATTTCTTTAAATAGAAAACTAGCTATTCTAGAGTTTTTTTTCCAATAGAATTCAATGAAGTCACTATAACAACAAAAATCTTAAACATTTCAGAATCAAAACAGCTACATAGAATAATGTACACTGGAAATCTGAAAAGAGAAACTCATTCAGTATCTCTGATGTGCTTAAATTCCTACATGAGTAGGCTCTGTGAGGAAATGCCACAAGGATTTGACACGTGGTTAGTCAAAGACCTGCTCATTGGATAATGACCATCTCGCTTTTTGGAATTTGTTTTCTCCACTGATTTCTAGAAATTAGTTTTAGGCAGAAATAGCCAAATTCCTGTTTTAGAAATTTAGAAATTCCTAATTTAGAATTATGCATTTTCTCTTTTGAATGATATTTTTTTCTTTTTTAGCAGCAATTCTTTCTGAAGAAATGATTAAAAGACTTGAAATTAATTCAGGGCATGAAGATCTAGGGCTGAGTTCCGCTTGCCTCATGCTGTAACCATTATTTCAAAAGTGATGTTGTAAAAATACATGAGCTATAAAAGGTATATGAAGCTTTGTGTAGCTCTATATAGTGTAGGTAAGACTCAAACACAGGCTATTTTTGTTCTTAATCTTTTCTGTGTACTCACAAGTCATTTAACAACATTTATTTCCTATTTCATATCCAGTGCAGAAACTATGCTTAACTTTCAACATAATTTCACATGAAACTGACTCTTTATGCTATTTTATTTTATTTTTTTATCTTTTGGGAAGGGTCTACAGGGTGTTCAGGGCCTCACAACTAGATTGGACTCATAGTGATCCGCCTCTTTACAGCCTCCCAAGAGCTGAGATTAAAGGCACGCTCCACCATGCCCAGTCTCAATTGCCATCTCAGCGTGCCCCAGGGGCAGGGCCAGCAGGCAGGCCTGGGGATCCAACCCCCAGCTCCTGTGCCTGCTTGCAGGCACTTTAATCCTCTGAGCTATTTGGTTGGCCCTCCTTATGCCACTTGAGAAGGGAACACTCCATGCAACTGGGGCTGAGGTTAAAGTTTGTACTAGATATTGCACCAGTGATCAAACCACTACATAACTTCAGGTTGTGAGAAGCATCTTGGAGGAAGTTATGAGATGCTACAAAATACACAACAGAAGCATTGGACTTTGTGCTGTCAGGAGTTAACAGCCCTTGAGGAAGTGACATTTTTGCCTAGTTTTGAGGGCTAACATGGAATCTAGGTCTCAGACAGAAGGATCTAGATGTGCAGATGGGGTCTCAGGTTTATCTAGAGACAGCAGCCTGTGTGTAGGCCTGAAGAGAGTAAGAAGTCTTCTGTTGTCAAGGAACTAAAAGAAGCAGGTGCGTAGAGCGGTGCACATCCTCACTTATGTACGTAATCCAACAGTGACTACTTCCTGTCATTTTTAACACTCTGTGTGCAAGCCATATGTCCTTGTATTTTTCTTTTGAGCAACTATTTGCAGTGAGCTTTCAAAAATAACCATCAGAAAGGATTTCCATTTTAAAATAGCAACTGGTTGTCTGTGCTTAATGCAGCTCCCTTGCACATTCCAATAAAATACCTCTGAAAGCAGAATGAATCTTTGCAGTGTCACTGAAAGCTTAGAACAGTGTTGTCCCCAGAGAAATGTTCATGAGCTGAAAAGCCAATTACAGAGCTGACTTAAATGATTGCTGGCCCACCTATGGTTTTAATCGCATGCGTGCTTTTCTTTTATTTAAACTAAGGGTATCGACTCTGGAAGTCACCTCAGCTGGAAACCCAGCAGAAAGTTTTACATTACAGATGCCAATGAAAATCTAGGCTTTCTATGCAGCACAGTGATGGTCTCAGGCTGGAAAGATTTTGACCCGCCCCTTGCATTGACCTGGGAAGCCTCAGCCTTTCGCCCACCAAGCCAGTATCTACTCTGTGGTTTAGAAGCAATTACTCCTCTAGAACATGTGTAAGATATCTTTAACTCCCACTACTAGAAAAACTCTCTAATGCTCTTTTGTATGGTATCCTCGATTCCCTACACTTTATTCTCCTGAAATCAGCTTTCAATATATGCTCTTAGATTGAAGAAAGCTAGGAAAGTATATTTTAAATCAAATAATAGGCTAAAATTTCTAAGTTGTAGTTATAAGAACTGTCTACATCAAAGCGGTAGTTGAATCCAGGAAAGCAGGAAAACTAAATTAGAGACAACAGAATAAGCTTAGCCAGAGAAATAAGACTTGACTTTAGATAATACTCATAACTACAAAACAAATGGCCTGCAAATGAAGAAAAAGAAGACAGCAGTTTCAATAAAAGTGATAAAGCAGTAGCTATATTGTCACAGGTTAGGAATAATAACAGACTGGACTCAGTAGTTCTGAGAGGTAGGGAGTCACAACAGCAACTGGAATAAGTCATGCAGTCTCAGGATTGTCATTCACCATCCAGTATTAGTTTACTTACTTATTGTCACAGTGTATGAAGGTGTGGGACAAACACTCCAGGTAGACGTGTTCTAGAGAGAAGACTGAGAGTCACCTGGCAGACCCAGACCAATCTATGCCATCAATGACTTGGGCAAGTTAAACAACAGCAGTTAAAAATAAAGTCCATTACGGTAGGATTGGGGAAATAGAAAGCCTGAGCACATAAGCAGCCAAATCACCCAGAAGTGAAAGAGTAATTTGTACACAAGAACTCTTTTCCAAATGGATTGCTCTTTTACTTCTCTTTCCTGAGGAGAATTAGCACCAAGAAGAGTTACCATGGATCAAGCTCTAATGTTAGTCTGAGTGGAGACATTGACCTTCTGCACTTAGAACAAGCTTTGTCTTAGTGTCCATCTGTAAGTGGCTGAATTTGCATCTAAAGGAGAATAGTAATATTTTATACATACATGCACAAGTCCAAGGAGTGGGAAAAATAGCCATGGAGACAATAGCTTAGAAAACTGGCTACCATTAACCTCATGCTGCCTCTGTGAACTGGTTAGATTTATTTTCATTATTTTTCCACATATATGGTGGCAGAGAGATTAAGTGACTTGCCCAAGGTCCCACAATCTAGATCTCTTGACTCCAGTCATAATGCAGTATTGATCTCATGGGAATTGATAGGCAAACTGTGAATGGCCTCCTGGGCTGAGGCAGAAGGAGTAAATGCTTCTCAAAGAAACTTATTTTATTTTTTGAATGCCAAAAACCAGTATTCAGTTTTCCAGTAAAAGTGCATTAGAATATTCTTAATATCTCTCATAATACAAAGAAAAATAGTCCTTTTAACTGGGACTTTCTTCTAGTAACTAAAATTGAAGAGACAAAATGAGTTTTCTTGGCTGTTTCAGTACTTGTGGTCATTGCTCTGCCAGCTGTACGCTGATGGAGTGGGCTGACCTGGGGCAGTTGAATTTGGTTTGCTAAGACAGTCACAAGGACAGGATCGAACATGTCCTAGTCCAGTTATAACATTTGTAAAGTCACATCCTTGGATTCATTCCAGGTCACAAGGC